GGGCGGCAGAGCCACGTCCCTCCTCTCGGGGAGGAGCTTCGGCTGCGGCCCTTAAAGCCCCGCCACACGTGGCCGCACGCAGCTCACCAACGTGCGTGCACGGCAGCGTGTACACGCGTGTCCCGGGCTGACCCCAGCGGCTCAGCCAGCGCCCGTGGAAAGAGCAGGGGACCAGAAGCCCCTCGGGCTTCTGTGCAGCTGGCTGCCGGTCCCTGCCCCGGTGAGCACTCGGTGAGCACGGCTGGGAAGAGGCTCTTGCCCGGGGTTGCATGTGCTGAGGTGAATTCCTCCCTCCCGGTGCAAACGCCGGGTCTGGCACGCAGGGCCCAGTTCTGGCACACAGGGCTCAGCTCTGGCACGCAGGGCTCAGGTCTGGCATGAAGGGCTCAGCTCTGGCAGTGTTTTCTTTATCTGCTTCACGCTGGTGAATCATCCTGCAATAGGCAAACACACCCCGGGCACTCTGCCTTCCCTTCCTCCCCATGGTTGGCTGAATCCTGATCCTAAAAGCTGAGGATGTAATTTTGCATCTCCCTTGTTTTTGTAGCTGTTTGGAGAAGTATGTAATAAAATCTGTCTCAAGACTTGCCTTGAGGGACTCCAGCTTCCCCCAGCCTCCTCCCCTCGTGTTGTTCCTCATCACTCCAGTCTCACACCCCATGTTTTTGCGTCCACGCTCTCACCAGACCAAACGTGTTGCTGAGGCTGGGGAAAGCAGAGCTGCCTTTCGGCTGCTCCCCCTCCTGTTGTGCAGAGCATTGTGCCTCGGCTGCGCTGCTCTGGAGAGGATGAGCCTTGCCTGACCTGTGCTCGGGGCCTTGGGTGCACCTGGGCACTGCTTCATGGCAGCCCAGTTTGGGGACACCAGCTTTTGTCCCTGTATGGTGCTGAGCTGGGTGCATGGTTCTTCGTGGGGAACATTTTATCCTAGAGCCTGGGGTGCCCTGGCCTGAGGCTGCTTCTGAGCATGAGAAAATAAAGTGTTTCAGGGGTGCCTTGTGCGTGCCGGGCCGGGGCTCATCTTGGGAACCTGTTGTCTGTGGTGCCTGGGGCTGCGTAATGGCTGCTGCAGCTTTTCTGATCTCCTCTTGCAGGCTGCGAGCTGACTGCCAGTACCAAATCCTACACGTTCCAGGTGGATGAGGAAGATGACTCTGACCATATTTTGGCCCTGTCTGTGGTAAGAGAAATGAGAATTAACTGTGCTTGCCCTCTCCCTTAGTGTCCCACAGCCTCACCCCTGCTTCCCCTGCTCATTCCCCCTTCCTGGGCCAGACTGGGGGACTCCCTTGGCTGAGACCCCAGCACTGGTTGCTCTCAGAGCAGGGCATGGGACTGTCACATTTATTGATTGTATGGAAGGTCTTGAGCAAAGCTAGTGGTGGCAGGAGGCTGCTCAGCAGAGGAGTACTCCAGACATGGGGTGAAAGAAAGTATTTTTTCCTTTTGTTTGCCCTCACTGGAGCCTCCTACTAGAACATACCTCCTCACCAGCTGGGTCTCTGGCTTGTTACTCTCCAAGCCTAGGCTGATGCAGGGCTTCATGCCTGGCTCTCCTTGGGGGTCATTTTCTGACCTGTGAGTGCAGGACCTGCCAGCATGGATCAGATCCATGCAGAAAATGCAACCTAGGTGCCATCTCTTGAGGTGGTTGCAGGAACAGCTGTCCCAGCTGGGAGATCCACAGAGCTCCTCTGCAGGCACTAAGGAGGCAATTGCTGCAGGGGGGGGATCTGTGCTCTCCTTCTTTTGTGGAGCAGCATCCTCACATCTTGTGTGGTAGCTGGGCTGGTAGTGTTGCTGTGGGTTGCTTGTCCTATGGAGAACCCTGGCTGTCCCTCCTGTGTGCCCTGGGAGAGCAGGAGTTCACAATCTCTGCTCCCACCCAGGTCTGCCTCACGGATGGTGCCAAGGATGAGTGCAACGTGGTAGAGGTTGTAGGACGAAACCACGAGAACCAGGAGATTGCTGTGCCTGTGGCAAATCTGAAGTTGTCATGCCAGCCCTTGGTAAGAGGTTGTTTTGAAGACACAGGTAGGGATGGCTGTAGGGAACTGGATGTCTCTGGATGTTTGTGGACCTTTCTCCTAGGACCCTGACCATGAGCTGGTCTGCAGCTCAGGGGTAGCCTTGGGTAGCCTGGCAGATGTCCCCAGAGGGCATGTTGAACTGGGCCAGCTGACATGCCAGGGACTGCAGGACATCCTGGTTTTTGCCTCCACCACTAAGTCAGCTCCATCTCTGTCTCTTTGCAGCTGAGCCTGGACAACTTCAAGCTGCAGCCTCCAGTGACCTTCCGCCTGGCAGCGGGCTCTGGCCCAGTACACCTCGCTGGCTGGCACCAGATTTGTAAGGACTTGTGTGTGGGGACAGGTTGGGAGGAGAGAAGGGTGTGGAGGGGCTGGTTGGGGAGCCCCTGAGAGATGAGCCTGGTGCTGTCCAGCACGTGTGCTTGGTGCCTCCTTTTTGCTGGTTCCCCAGGGGCCGTCTCTGTGCAGGGATTCCTTCCCTGCTGTAAAGCCTTGCATGGGAAAAGGAGTCTGGATGACCCACACTGTCCCCTTTTCCCATGGCTGGGTGTCACCATCCCTCTCTGAGACCTCCCTCTAGCTGGGATAGAGCTTATTGCCCACAAGCTGCTGCTCCAGCACTCCTTGGGCTGCTCTGCTCTTGGAGTGTCTAAGGGGTCAGTTGTGTTTGCTAAAGACATACATTGATGAGTAACAGGATTATTTGTGTCCCAGTGCACAGGGAAGATGCTTCCTTTGAGGAGGATGACGACTTGTCTGAGGAGGAGGAGGAGGAGCTTGCTCCTATCATGCCGGCCAAGAAGTAGAGGAGGAAGTAGTAGCTTATTCTCCGAGCAAGGTGAGGGGCTGGGCAGCCTCTGAGGAAGGGTCTGGGTGGCTGTGATACTGGTGTGGCAAATGGGGGTGGGAGCTGCCCTGCCACAGGAGGCTGAAGGTCTCAATCTGGTTGTTCTTCCAGGTACTCACTGGTACTTCTTGCCCTGGACGGCTTTTACCTCGGACACCTCTTGCTAGGACCTCAATGTTTGCTGCTTTGGTTTTATTTTTATTTTTTTATCTGTTGTAACTTTTTGGGGAGCAGAGGCTGCTCCCAGCACTGGGATGTTTCCTTTCTCACAGCCCTAGGAAGCTGATCCCAAAACTGGATGGATGCTGCTGGTACATCCCCTCTCCCCCAACCCTGTGCTGGGAGTCGGGGATGGAGGAGATGATCCTTTCCCTGTGCCTTTTTGCTGTCCTGGACCTCTGCTCTGTGCACCCCCCTCTCCCTGGCTCTGAATACCCAGTCCAGTAGATGGACATAAAGCCAGTGGTGGGACAGGCAGTTTCACTGATTCTAGTGTGTTTGCTTTGCTTTACTCACAATTTGATGGGGTTTATACACTTGGAATTGTGAAACTGGGGCCCAGGCTTCATCCTCAACCACAGTTATGGTGGGGTGGGAGCTCACAGCTTATCTGTGATCTGGGAGGAGGTTCTGGGTCAATCTGCTTTGTAAAGAACTGTTTTTACACCCTGAATAAAGGTCTCTCAGGCATCAGGTCTGGAGGGGGGTCACTGCTGGCTGGCAGGTTCCTCCCATGCTCACTTCAATGGGAGAACATAGAATCGTAGAATTGTTTGGTTGGAAAAGACCTTTGAGATAATCTGTCCCTGTCCACTAAAAAACAATATCTCTGAGCACCTTGTCTACCTGTCTTTTAAATACCTACAGGGATGGTGACTCAGCCACTTCCCTAAGCAGCCTGTTCTAGTGTCTGACAACCCTTTCAGTGAAGAAATTTTTCCTGATATCCAGTCTGAACCTCGCTTGGCACAACTTGAGGCCATTTCCTCTTGTTCTATCATTAGTTACTTGGGAGGTGCTCTTCTGTGTCCAGTTCCTGACACTTGTTTCCCTTGGTGATGCTGCGGAGCTCACAGGAGGGACCCAGGGCCTCCTCGCTCTCCTTTGTGGGCTCTGCACACTTGTACCCCATGAGCCAGCTCAGTGCTGCATCCAGGCTACTGAGGGAAGGGGCAGGGTTGCAGGTGGCTTATGGGGCAGGGACGCAGCTCCATGTGTGCTCCCAAGGATAACCCAGCTCTTAGCAACACCCCCCTGGTTTGGGTCATGTTTGCCCTGGTGCTGGGCACTGTCACAGCAGGGTCCTCTGTTGTGTCTTGCTCTCAGCCCAGCACCATCCTGTGGAGAGATGAAACACCAGCACCTGCAGGGTGTGGGGCAGGTTTGAGCTCTGACCTTTGCTCTGACCTCATGTACCCCCATGTCTGGGTACCTGAGGAGGATTTAATCCTTTCTGTGCTTTAGTCAGGTGGCATTTCTCACCCCTGGGGGCTGGTCCTGTCCATAGAAGTTTATCTGCTGGTTTCCCTGCATACAATCTTGCATCCTTGGCCCATGAGTTGATGCTTGCCCCAGCCCTACTTGTTGGTGACACTGGCTGCTGTCCCTGAGAAGCATTGTGTACTGTTCTGTCCTGTTGGTTCCCTGGGACAGTTTGTTTCTCAGTTTCCTGGTCTCCAGTAGGAAATCCTCCAGGGTGGATCCTCAGCTCAGGCTCCATCCTAGGTTGTGACTGGGGCTGTTTCCCTCCTCTGGGGCTTGGCAGATCCTCTCGACCTCTCCACTGTTTCCTTCTGGCCCCGAATAACCCTCGATCAAGCCCCCTTGCCCTGCACAGAGTGGGGCTTTGACGCCCCTCACAGTGAAGGGGAAAGGACCCTTGGCATCCCAGCCCCGTGGCAGGGGACCGGAGGACGGAGAAGAGCCCGGCTGAGGGATGAACCCGCTTGCTTGTCTATGG